TCCTTGAAGGAAAATAGGCACATAAGAAGCTCCTTGGAGCCATTTCGGTGGTGCAGTAATCCCTGGAATCAGGAATGAAATCGAAGTCATCCAGAGCTCCAGAGTGCACAGTCCGTTCCCCTGTCAACCAATCGGTTTCCCTAAGTCTAATTGCTGTTCGGACCATATCATAGCTGACTAAACTATTTCTATTAGTGATTCCGTATTAGAGATTGTCAGGTGAAATTTCATTATTAGACCTTACGCATATTCTTTGCAAATATAAACCATATCACCCAAGGTTGTGATTTAATTATGTTTAGTCATTATTAAATCCTACCAAAAATCCTGTCCAAAAGTCACTAAAGCTCCATGGTGGAATAACAACCTCCCCAAACTTGGGGCAAGCAAAGCAATAATTGCTCCAATAAATACCATAAGAAGATTAGAAGAGCTAACAAAAACTCAAGAACTAACTTTAGCAAATGAATCCAAGACCTTGCAACATTATCCCGAGAATCACTGAGTCCTTGCTAAATAGCATACTGATGAAATAGATCTCCTAAGAAGTGACAGATTATTCACGGACATCGACAGGAAAACTTTTGCCAACCATTACGCGGGGCATAGTGATCTAAAAAAGACCTACGCGATTAATTGGAAAGTAGCCAGATACCTGTACGATGATCATAGAATAAGATGGACTATACTGCCTCTGCGCCTTTAAAATACGGTATATTCTCAGCTCATCTCAACTTCGGAGATGTTCGCGTTTTACGCAAGGGATCTCTGTCAGAAAGTAATGATTAGGTACATCCCAAAGGTAGGATCAAAATCATCAGACCAACCAAAGTCATACATACCGATACATCAACCTAACATCACTCCTAATAAAAACTAGGTAACGTATCGTAGATAGTAAAACACAATTTCTTGCAATGATCCCTGCGCTTAAGAACCATCTACCATCTACCATCCACTTCAGCTCCTCAAAGTCCCACACCAAAAGTTGAAACATACATGGAGGAAGAGGATTTTGTTAGCACAGAAAACAGTTTAATCGACAATTGCATTCGGCGCAAAAAGAAAGATGTAACCACATGCCGCTAGATAGCAAACGCGCTTAAACTCGGTATCATGATTTCCGCTCCAAGATAGGAAACAGTCAGTTTCTCCGCGAAAGGATGCCCACGGACGGGAAGTGATCTCTCCTCAATTATGATAAATCATAACAGATGAACTACTCTGACTTCTGAGTGACAAGGCCTTTGAAGTTTGAAATTTTCTTCCAAAGAAGGTATAGTGAAGACGTCAACTTAAACGTTCTGCAGAATTCGCAGAAAGTAGAAGTTAAATGATGCACGCAAAACAGGTTAAAACCCAACCTTAAGATGAAAATGTCCTTGATGGCAAGCCTTCATTGAATTCACATCTATGTAGATAAAACTATTGAAAATGGCAAGGGTTTCATTTCGATGTGCCGGAAGCTAATGGAGATGAACTTTGGTATCAGATCCAAATTAGCAAGTTTTATGTACGAAACTATTTCAAGACGAATCTTAGCATAGACAGCGTCCATCTGTTGCATGAACTCTACTCAGACCAAGCTCAGTAAATTCCAACTAGTGCAATGAGCGCGATAACTACCGCGGCTATCGAAGTGCATCTAGACTTACCTCCTCTGCACATCGTTATCAAGAAGGAGGCTGATATCAAAACTCATCTCAGGGGATTAGAAGGTAGCCCACTCTCACGGATATAGAACAAAAGCAACGATTGCATAACTTCACAAACAACTTTAAGGCCTTTTCCCCAATTAGAATCAATTGTAAAAAGGAACTATCAAAACCCCGGAAAGATAGCCACATCTGACATACTAACGGTGTCGGAGTCTGGCGGTCTTTGAAGATGAGGTTCGTCCCATTAATGGTATTCCAAACAGTGACGAAACCAATAGTACAGGACTTCAAGGTGCGAATTTCGTTCGTTCGTCGAGAGATGACTTTACTCCGCAATTGCCTATTCAGTCCAAGTAGTATTGGTAGCCAAGAGGCATGTATGGCATACATATGTATATGGAGCTTCCACGACTTCAGAATTATAACTGCTGACAGTGGCGTTGGTGCCTAAATGCGCATGCACTGACTGCTTATTAGATTACATAAGAAACTTCTTTGTATCGTCTTTCACCACCAATCCCTCACAGTGAGTTCCCCTATCTAAAAGAAAAGACAGAAAATAGGTAACGACACCGATGTCATCGACATGCGCCAGAAATTGTAAGCCCTTCACAATACTGACGGCACTGATACTGTTGCTCAATGTAATTTTATACAGACGTATTATTTTCGCAGGAAAACCAAATTCAGACATCGTATAGGCATCTTCTTTTCATGCTGTCGAAAGAGGCTTTGAAATCGTTCGAATCAAAGACACACTGACAAGATACAAGCAGCTCGTTAATGTGGGGTTTCAGCCGTACACACTACTTGCGGGTTGGGCAGATCGCACTTGAATACCAATGGTTAGTGGGTGCCACTCTTATGTCCTCCTCGCTGCTCAGTCGGCAGTTTGTCGTCATCTCTAGCAGTATTGTTGTTTTTAGCCTTTGAAGCTGCTATTCGTACCTCGTCATAGTCGGGCGGTGGAACATCGATTCTGTCGTCATCGACAGCCGGAACGAGTTCATCCTCAGTGCTGATAGCATTTAACAGGGTGTTCCATATAAAGGTTAAATATAAATGTTTTGGACATCGGTCACTAAGTATCCGAGATTGTTCTTGAAGTTCGTCTTGGTCTGAAAATCTTTCTGATACAAATTTTGGGCATTTGTCCTGAACCCAGTATTCCAACCTAACGTTTTGGGCCCCCTCCTTTTTTACGGAAAATATGTAAGTATGCACGTCTCGTTTCCCTTGTCGTTTGCTCTCCCTGACATTTAAATTCCCAAAACAATCTTAACAATCTAGCGCTTAAAGTAGAGTTGTTTGGTTGTTTGAGCGATATGTTAATTAATCTCACGAAACTGTTGAACCCAACAATTACTGTGCGTTTCTAAGACAAATAGCCAACGGTTACAATGTTGCATTGCCTTTTCGTCTTGACCCGCTCATCGCATTCAGATAATAATGAGATGACAAAAGATCGATCTAATATCTACTAAAAAAGTTGTAAATAAGAAATGTGTTTGAGATCTTATAAAACTGTTTTCCAAAATGAATACTTATTGATTACAAAATTTAAACTTAAAACTAAAAAAAAACAATAACTCAAAAAGCGGCAGAGCACGTTTGATCGCTAATAGATCAGCGCTAAAAGCGATTGATCGCCAGCAGATCGTAAAACTCACGGCCGCGTTACAAATAAATTAACGAATGTACGCATACTATATAGCTGTACGTGCATATGTGTGTGTGTATGTATAAATGTGTATTTGTCCATACAAATGGATGGAAGCGAACGGGGACGCGGACGCACAAACGAACGTCAATTAAGTGAAGTGTTTGACGGCAAACAGGCACATAATAATCATAATAATAAACACAAAAATACTCGAACAATACAAAGGTAGATAATGCACATACACACGCACAAACGGACACACAAACGTATACGTATAGGAGGCGAAACATTATTACTTTCATATGTTTTCTGCTTGACGGCTCCTCACTGCTACATACATACATATGTATGTAGGTATGTTTATACATACGAATGTACACACTAATGTAAAAATGTTAACTTCAGTGCGTCTGTTCGAATGATTTCAATGCCATTTGCCGCAACGATTGTGTTATTAATTCGTCTTCGTTGTTGTTGACTTTTTGTTTACACGCACTTTTGGAGATGCGTAGATACATACATGCATACATATCTACGCACATCGGTGAGTTCTCACACAGAACTACCCGTAGGCTCATACATAGATACATACATACAAACACACCTATGCAGATACGAAAACAATAGCACTCAGCTGTTTTCTCCCCTGCTGACCGCACCAACGCTCAAACAGTCTGAGACGAACAAACGAACCAAAACAATGAGAGCGTGAGGGCAAATTAACGAAGAAAAAACAAGGCATAAATATATGGTACAATATCTTACAACAGACGAGAAATATGCAGGAAAGAAAGTGGCAGTAGAATTGGTTAGCAGCAAAATTGCCGCTACTTCCTGCCTCTGCTTTGCTGCCGATTTCACACTTCTGACGCCTCGTCCCATCTTTTTCGTTACTTCCGTCAAACACCTACACACTTTGAAACACTTCCGTACTCAACATGCCCGCGCGCGCCTTTCCAAACCTACACACACACACACACCATACACATACATACATACATAGAAATTAGGGCGGCTGTGTTTTCTGTTATTCTTCGCCTATGGCGGTGGTGGCAGTGGTTGGATGCCGTACTCAGCGATATTTGCACTAATTTCCAATGCTTCTAACATTGTTGCTACACTCACAAAAGTTTGTTGTTGCCAACATTGTTCACAAGTACCCACACGCGTGCATATTTTTTACACTTTTTTCTTAAACCGCGTATTTGCACCCGCAACACTGCGAATATGGTAGAGCGAAAAAAAAACGGAGCGCGCGTGAAGGATTCTAACTTGCCGCTCGATCTAACCGCCACAGCAGCCATCTAATTCGAAACTAGTGAACATCGAAAATGCCACCGACCATACAACCGCTCCGCGCACAACATAGAAGGCCGTTCGTCGTAGCTGGCGACGCTCGTCGGACGCTCTCGTTCACGCGCGCGCGCACTTAAAATCCGCCGCGCCACGTTCGTTCTCGCTCTCACAAGGCGTACGGACGCACCACTACGTAAGCGCTTCAACAACTACTTTGTTTCTGTTTACAGGGCGCGCACACCTTCCACCGCACCACGTGTCCAACCAACCTACATATCAGCCATTCCAACTTGCCGCGCGCTCACTGATGAGCGTAGCGCAATGGCTCACAGACAACCCACCGCTATCAGCCTACCACCGCCCATCGAAAAATATCTACTTACGCTCACAGCTAGCGCCAGTTCAGTACTGCGCATCCACTGTGTATCTGTTGTCAGCTTTGTATCTATTCGTTTTTTTTCTGAATTTGCAGTAGATACACATTTAAGCCGAAAAGCGGCCGCGGCACGAAGAAAAGCAGCAAAGTTCGTGTGCCGCCGAACGCGAACTTTCTACGCCGCTCGCCTCGTCGTCGTCGGTGCCGCTGCCACTGCCACTGCCCCTACCCCTATTTGGCGTTCAATTCGCTCTTCTCGCCCACTTTGCGCCCAATGTTTTCGCCGCCGAATTCGCCGTCACACATTTATACATTATTTTGTCTACATTGCATGCATGCATGTACATATGTACATACTTAGTTGTTTTTGTTTATGTTGGCGATATTTTTGTCGAAATTCCAATGCGAACGCACCGCAACCGAAACGAGCCGGGCTAGATACGAAATAAATAACAAATGTCACAGCGCGGCACGGCGTCTTGCTGGGTCGCGTTACAAATGCGTGGCCGCGTATGCGTGACGACAATGACGACGACGACGACTTTTGTTGTTCTTGATAGTCAAGCGTACGAACGAGGCGCCTTATCAAATATATATACGCACAAATACATGAGTGTGCGTGTGTGTGTTTCAAGTGTTTGCCTATGAATGCCCTCACTAATTTACCGTTTGCTCTTCACTTGACCGCTCTAGCTGCTCATTCACATATGGAACTGTTCAAATTTACAAACACTCACACAGACGTATTGACATTTGTACGAGCGTATCTCCATATACATACATACATACATATATATATATTCACACTTGAGCGCCGAATGCAAAGTGAAATTTTTCCCATTTGAAAATTTTCAAATACCCGCACGCACGCACACACCCGCACTCACAGAGGTAATCATAGTACGAAAAATGGTTGCTGACATTAAGTGATTTGTGCACTGCAAAAGCAACCAAATTTCACTTTAATAGATTTCATAGAAAACACAGAAATTGTCATATCAAAACACTTCTTCCATCCAGCAAAGAAGCTGTTCGCTTTCGTAAACACGTAACCGGCAAATTTTTACCATGAAAAAAACCAAATTTTATATACTAACATTTCTATTGATTTTTAACAACAATTCACGAACCGCTCGCTGTCTTCTCCACACGTTGCACACTCTCTGCGCTCCCACCATTCAGCGCGCGGCCCACTTTGCGCACATTGCACTAGGCCGCTTTCCTTTCCTTTGCCTCCCTTCGCAATTTTGTTTTTTTTTTTTATTTTTTATTTACTTTTGTTTCGCCCTTTTTCACTATGCTTTTTCTTTTGCACTTGTTTTTCTTATCGATTTCTCGAATACCTTCGCAGCGGCAACAACAATTCGCTGTTGCCACTTTCTGCTAGTCAGCGTTTTAGCTACTGTTTTCATTCAATTTCAATGCACTTCAGTTTTGCCAAAGCGAAATTCACTCCGAAAAGTAGGAAAAAGCGCCACGCCGGAACACCAAATATTTATTTTGTCGTCCGCTATCAACCGCGCCACACGAACTGCACAATTCGAATGCCAACAAACTACTGTTACAGCGCGATGGTGGAGCAGTCAGCTAACAATGACTGTATATCTATGTATTCACAAGCACATACAAATGCAAAGGTTTGCAGCGATGTGCGTACGTGGTCTCCTTCGTTGGCACTCTCTTTCGCTCTCGGTGTGTTCTTCGGCTTGGCAGTATTTTGCCCCAACTACACACACATATACATGCGTACATTCTTCAGTTGTAATGCCTACCATGGGCTCGTAAAGTAAGTTGAATGGAAAAATTTTCTAGAAGTCGCTTTGAAAAGATAATGAGATTGGAAAAGTCATATTTATATTCAATAAACCTATCCAAGTGATCCCTGAACAAATATTTAGGCTGTTTTTTTTCAATGCACCAGATAATGTACAGCAGAAGACGGTAGCATTATGTACTTACTTGGAAGTTTGTTTTTAGTAGAACTGTGGTGCTTGGTTACTAAAATCTCCTGACCTTATGAAGCCACAGTGGATACCATACCCACTACTACACAGAGAAAAATATGTATGACGTATGGAAACAAGAAGATTGTCTCTAAGAAAAGTTTCTAGGCTAGGCGTTACCCCAGAAGAACGTGAGAATTCTCATTGATTTTATTTGTAAGAAGATTTTATTTTTTAAATCATAGAGAAAATCTGCTTGATTGCATTATTTAATAGCTGCATTTCTTTATTCATTCTGAACGTTTGGAATAAACTTTTTTGTTTACTTATTCTTTAGAATGTTCCTGATGATATGTTAACGTATATTTCAAACGCATTCTGTTTATTCTGGCTGTGAAATGGCATTATCTGGAATGAATAAAGAAGCGCAGCCAAAAAGAAACACTTCTTCATTTTATGAAATGTCTTCTTAAATAATTTGAAAAGTAATTATTCTTAGATTTATGAAATGTCTTCTTGAATTCACCGAAATGTACTTCTTCTTAATTTATTCAAACTGAATAAATTTCAAATTGATATTGTTAAATAGAATAGTGTCGATAAGGCGACCACCGTAGTCGAATAGGTAGAGCTGTAAACCGCCGTTCAGCAGGTTCCGGTTTTGAGAACAGGTCAACGTAAACTTGTTTTCCTTTTAATTTTATATTTTTTGCTTTTAATTAGGTAGCCTAATGTCGCCCGTTGTGGTGTAGTGGTAAGCAGTGCACGCTTTCACTCCGCAACGCCTGGGTTCAAGCCCTGGTAAACATCGCAAAAAATGTAGAAAAAAGATTTTTTCTTAACAGCGGTCGTCCCTCGACAGGCAATGGCAAACCTCCGAATGTATTTCTGCCATGAAAAAAAGCTTCTCATAAAAATATAATCGCCATTCGGAGTCGGCGTAAAACAGTAGGTCCCTCCGCTTTGTGTGACAACATCAAGGCACTCGACACAAATTGGAGGGGAAGCTCGGCCAAACAATAACATAGTGTAAGCGCCAATCTATTTATTATTAATAATCGAAAGAATTCCTCTTTGATTTCATTGAAAAAAGAATCGAACTAAAAATAAAAATGTTTTCCTCTTGAGAAAAACCCATAGCGATAATTTATAAATTTTGTTCTATTTTATTTTAGAAAATTCGGGTATTCAAAAGCCTTTATGCTTGGAACACATTGAAAATGACGGTCCTCGGACAGCAACTACATAACAATTTATTTTCATTACCTATCTAAACTCTTTGTCGAAGGGGTAAGGACATCATGAATTTTTGTACGAATTTTACATAGTAGAAAATGAAAATAATATATATGTATACATGGGCGTAGCCAGGTAGGGGCAGGGGGGTGCTCGAGCCCCCCTCTAACTTTCAAATTTTCCTTATATATACATAAAATAGTACCCTGAAATGCCAGCTTCATAGGGTCGAGCCCCCCCCCCCTAAATTTCATTCTGGCTACGCCGATGTATGTATATATGTAGGTCTAGTCTGGCCACAACCACAGTCACGGTTCAGTCGTCGCTAAAATAATTATCTACATAAGAGTACTTGATCTCTGCACTTTTAGCTACAGACAGACATACAAATGTGTTTTGAAATGTTCAACTTGATTAACATTTCTTACAATCGGTGTATTTACCATGACAAAATAAAACAATAACTTGGTTGAGAAACCCGTGTTGCTTTTGGCTCAGTGTGCACATTTTCTACTGATTGACTAAGCTTCACCTCCGATTTACATTGTCACCCAAAGGGAAGCAAGCTACAGTTTACGTAGTTACAGTTAATATTCCCTATGTTTTTTTTTTAAGCTACGAATAAAGAGCCTCTGCGGTTCGAAAGAAACTATCAGCTTATCAAAATACCGACTAATCTTATATTTTATCCAATCTCCCAAATAATCCATATCTATACATAATAATAGATTGGCGCTTACACATAAGTTAGGCCGATCTTTTCCGATTTGTGGCGTGCAGCTTCATTCATTTGTAGAACAAATGGGAAGATCTAATGGTTTAAATTATAAATTGGTGATAACTTAAGATATATAGGATTAATTCAATATCCTTCCTCTGGGTTGGAGTAGTAACCCCTGTATACTGTAATTAATAAGGGATGTAGAAACATAGAACATTAGATTGAAACGTTAGTGTTTAAGTGTAAAGTGTTAGTGTGTAAAACGCTTTAGAAAAGGAAATTCAGCTTTTAAACTGTTTGCAGTTAACGTGGACTTTAATGTGCATAAACAAACATACAATGCCTGAGAGTTTGATTAACAAGTAACCAGGTTAAGACCACATCTTCGATTAAATATCTGCGGCGCCAGGCGGATTTGTAGATATAATTATGCTTTTTGGCGTAGGTCTTGGCCTATCAGTGGAAAATTTGCTATATTCCCTGCGATATTCCATACAAAAGTATAAAACACAATAATTTGATTTGATTCTTTACAAAAAAGTTAGAAAGCATGCAGAAATGTCCTATTGTGAAAGTATTATAAGCCACTGTAGAGCGTGATTTTTCTCCGTAATGAACTTTTGCGCAGATATAATTAATCCGAATCTACATACAGACGTGCACGAAGTAAAAACGAATGGACCCCACAACCCGAGAACCAACACCTTCTCGAACAAAAATTACAGTCACCCATACAAAATACACAAAAAATTCGGTACAATCGAAAGAGTTTCGTTAACACGAACGAGCGCCAAAATCCATGCAGAAACAGCGAACTCTAGCATTTCTCCCGCTCTTGTGCTCCAACACCAAATAAGGCAGCTAAGTTTCTATGTATCGATGTATGTATGTTTATCATACCTTCGTCTTCACCATTGCCTTCGTACGTTGCCACGTTCGTCGTCAGCGTCTGCTTTTCCCATCCCTCCAGTAGACATTTTTGTATGTGCACGAAAGCAATGGCAGCACACCTACTGAATGCGCTAGAAAGTGACAGGGCACGCCATTGCCTCTGTAGCCGCGCCCACCCTTCGGCTGGCTAACAACTTGATTGGCCACTTATACACTATCGTCGTGCCGTTAGATGCATTTCGGCAACGAAACCGATGGCTGCCGAAGCCGTTAACTTCATTTTGGGTCGCGCGGTAGTGGTGTAGTTGAAAGTAAAGCAATGTTGTAGCAACGGCTGGCGACAACTGGCAGGCGGGCCAGCAACAAAAATAAATTTAAGTCGCTGTGGCCGTTGGCGCTGCTAGCGTTTCTGGGCTGGTTGTACGGCGAATGTTTTGCTGGTGTGTGCGAATGAGAGCAACCAGCTGACTGTAGGTGGGGAAATCGCCAGCCCATTGTGTTGTGTGTGCGAGAGTAGTGGGTGATAACTGTGTTTTTGACGTGTGTTGCAGACGATTTCGTAGTCGGTTTGCATAGCGTTTGTGGTTTTCAGTATCTATTCAGTTGTTGGAGGATGGTTTCCAAGAAATTTCATTGCGGGCATTTTATGGATTTTTTTAGTTAAATTTTTGGCTAAGGCAAGCTTAAAAACGAATATGAACGGCATATCGAGCCTCAACCACAAATCACAACGTAGCGACATTTTTTTCAGAATTTTCTTTTTGATGCAAAAACTGATCTAGATGCTTTAGGAGCATTTCTGCATTAAAAAAAAACTATATTTAAAAAAAACGACCCAAAATTGCGAATTATCCAACCCAAAAATGGACTGAAATAAAAAAAAACTACTAACTACATAATATCGTGTCGCTGGCTGAGCCTTATAAGTAGATATAAATCTACTTAGGACGGGGCTGTATCCCGGATGGCGTTTACTTTCTTACCTAACGAGCAACGCCTGACCTAAGGATTTCAAATCAATCAGTCTCTCCTCTCTCCTCTTATAGAGACTTGGAGGCGTTCTACCAACTTTTACCTTCCAGTTCGTTAGGTTAGATTAGTCTGGTTACCCCTTGCCAAGAGACCCACTCAAACCGGGCGAGATGCTAGTCCCGCAGAACCCCCAGACAAGTCAGAAAGTACGAATCCAAGCGCTTAAGCCGCATTCTAGGAAAAGCTTGGCAGAATGAGAGCAGGTGCTGAGATGATTGCACCCCTTCGTCTTCTATGGAGCTGCGACAAAAGGGGCCTGGTGTTATATTCCATCCCACCGCGTGAACCTCGAGAGGACAGTGGCCTGTAAGTATACCCACCAAGATTGACAGACCTGACTTTGCGAGCCTAAGGAGATCCCTAGGCCTTCCCCGGTGGAGCTCATAGTAGCACATACACAGCGTTCGCTGGGTTGATCTGAGGCAACCGCCGTATTTAGGGGGGAAATGTAGAAATTTAGGTTTTTAAGGCACTTAAACTTGAAAAAGGCAAAATGAGCCTCAAAAAAAGTCAAAAAAGGCATATATTTTTTTAATTTTGTTATGTACTTCCTTTATGTACAGTGTGAAGGTCGAATTAAAGATATAAAAAATACAAACAGTGGTGAAAAAATTAGAACCACTTTTTGCCAAGTTTTAATGTATTATATTTGTTGCTATTGAACTTTTGTTATATTTTTAAATAAAAATATAGTTCGTTCCATGTTTCCAAATTTTTAAAA